GTGTCCTGTTACAAAAGAAAACTGATTCTCTTTTTCCCTCGATGGGACTCTGCTTGATAAGGAAAACTGATTCTTATTGAATTTATGCAAATAACTATGTTGCTATAAGTTAAGAATATGCAGAGTTTCCAAATTCTGGAGAGATTCAGTAGACAGAAATACACTCTAAATTTTGCCCACAGGAGTACATTTTACTCAATAGTTAAAAACTGGCTAGGCGCAGTGGCTCATGCCTGTAATCCCAGCACTTTGAGAGGCTGAGGTGGACAGATCACCTGAGGTCAGGAGATTGAGACCAGCCTGGCCAACATGGCGAAACCCTGTCTCTACCAAAAATACAAGAATTAACCGATATGGTGGCGGGCACTTGTAGTCCCAGCTATTCAGGAGGCTGAGGCAAGGGAATCACTTGAACCCGGGAGGCAGACATTGCAGTGAGCTGAGATTGCACCATGGCTACACTCCAACCTCGGTGTCAAAGTGAGACTCCATCTCACAAAAAAAAGAAATTAAAAATTGTTAAAAGCTGCAAATAGCTCAAAAGAAAAGTTCTTGTGACTTTGAAAAATAAAACAAAAATAATCAGTGGGTTGGGTATCTAATAACAGCTATTAACTAACTGGGTATTGAAGAATAGGTAGAAAAGTAGATTGTTTCAGTCTCTTATTAGTTCAGCTCATGCAGTTAACTTCTGTTCTGCTTGTTATTCATTAACACATCCCCTTTCCATAAGAGTCCTGGATTTTTCTATTCTAATAACACAATTGCCAAAGTTATCAAGAACCTGTGTCTGGGCACAATGGCTCATGCCTGCAATCCCAGTACTTTGGGAGGCTGAGACTGGAGGATTACTCGAGCTCAGGAGTTCAAGAGCAGCCTGGGCAGCATGGCAAAACCCTTTCTTTACAAAAAAAAACAAAACAAAACAAAACAAAAAAAAAACACACACACACACACAAAATTTGCGAGGTGTGATGGCATGTGCCTGGGAGATTGAGGTTGCAGTGAGTCAAGATCGCACCACTGCACACCAGAGTGAGACCCTGTCTCAAACAAAAACAAAAATGAGGCCAAAAATCTGCATTCAAGAGCACCTGTCAAAGTCCTATAGCTGATTACAAAACCACCTTTTTAAAAAGGATCAGGCTGGGCATGGTGGCTCACACTTGTAATCCCAGCACTTTGGGAGGCCAAGGCCAGTGGATCACCTGAGGTCAGGAGTTTGAGATCAGCCCGGCCAACATGGTGAAACCAAGTCTCTACTAAAAGTACAGAAATTATCTGGGCATGGTGGCACACAACTGTAATCCCAGCTACTCGGAGGGCTGAGGTACAAGAATCACTCAAACCTGGGAAGTGGAGGTTGTAGTGAGCCAAAATCATGCTCACTGTATTGAAGTAAAATATTTGGTGATAACATAAGTCTCAGAATGGCTGTGATTAAGAACACAATTGACAAAGAAGTTTGGTTATTTTTGTGACATATAACATTTACTATTACAATTATAATTATTACTGACAACATACACTAAGTCATATTGGAATTGGAAAAGTTTTGCCCAATTCTGGAACACACACCAATAACACATTCATACAAATACAGCCAAAAGAAAGCCAAACAGGCTGGACAAGGTGGCTCACACCTGTAATCCCAGCATTTTGAGAAGCCAAGATGTGAGGATCACCCGAGCTCAGAAGTTCAAGACCAGCCTAGCCAACATGGTGAAACCCTGTCACTACTAAGAATACAAAAATTAGCTGGGTGTGGTGTGGATGCCTGTCATCCCATTTACTCAGGAGTCTGAGGCAAGAGAATTGCTTGAACCCTGGAAGTAGAGGTTGTGATGAGCTGAGATTGTGCCACTGCACTCTAGCCTGGGCAACAGAGTGAGACTCGGTCTCAAAAAAAAAAAAAAGCCAAATACCATTTCCTACTTGACAGGGCTTCCTATATAATTTATAATATTTTTTGATGATTGTATGGTTTTTAAAATATAGAAACTGTTGATAATTTGTACCAATGAACTTGAAGATGGTAAAATGGTGTGATGCTCAATAATCCTTTGTACTTGGTTTGATCTTCCTTATCAAATTTGTAACAAAAAGCCAAATACTAAAGCCATAGTGGATGGTGTATTTCGGGAAGCAAGGGAAAGCTGCTCACCTGCTGCATTCCTGTACTCTCCTTTGTGCTGGGAATGAACATCATCGTCTTGCCATAGAGCTATCTTCTTTGCAAACACCTTATAATTGCTCAGCTGGTCTGGGGTTCAGGGAAAGAAAGCCTCTGTATAGAAGTCAAGTTTCAGAGCTGGGCATGGTAGCTCATGCCTGCAATCCCAGCACTTTGGGAGGCCAAGGTGGGCAGATCACCTGAGGTTGGGAGTTTGAGACCAGCCTGACCAACATGAAGAAACCCCGTCTCTACTAGAAATACAAAATTAGCCAGGCATGGTGGCACATGCCTGTAATCCCAGCTACTGGGGAGGCTGAGGCAGGAGAATGGCTTGAACCTGGGAGGCGGAGGTTGTGGTGAGCTGAGATCTCTCCATTGCACTCCAGCCTGGGCAACAAGAGCGAAACTCTGTCTTAAAAAAAAAAAAAAAAAAAAAAAAAAAAAGAAGAAGTGAATTTCAGCAGTGGTTTGCCAAGTCCTGAGATCAGAATTTTGTTTTGGAGATGAATATAAAAGCACCTAAAGGTCAAGGAAAATGTTTTTCCTGTGACAAGGAACTTAAGACCTTTGCTTTAGAAGTGTAGATGACCACTCCCCCTCTGAAAGTTAGGGAGAAGAATGTTGCATTCGTTCTTTTTTTCCGGGCCAATCGCTTTTTTGATTCTCCTGGCATGGTCCAACAGATGCACGGGGCCTCCCCGGGGTCTGGCCCACTCCCAATCCGGAGGCTGCTTTATAGCGGCCCGCCTCATTCTGTCATCTTCACTCCTTTCCTTCTATAATTTTAACATGTCGAATAAACCAGGTGTCTCTTTTGGACCTCAGGGGAGTTAGTATCCAAAAGCTTAATGAGTTCAACGGGGCTAAATTTAAAACCTGAAATTTTGATTTTTGGAAGGTTTGCCAAATATCAAAGATTTCACACACCTGATATGGCAAAAGGATCACAAGTCATTCATTTAGCGAAAGTGGTAACTCAACAAATTTCAAAAGGGGAAAATCTTTACCCTGATAGAGAGGCAACTCAGCTTTTTAAATGAAACCCAAGAAAGAGAACATGAGGCCAGCTGACTTTGTCTCTCCTCTCTCCCCTCTTTTTCCTTTTTTCTTGCCATTTACTCAGAAGGCAAACAAAAATTTTTCACTATCTCTCAATATTGCATGAAAGTCTTGTTCAAAAGAGAAAACAAAAGTTTTTCTTTGTATTAGTGTACTATAAATGTTAAACTCAATTTTTAATAAAACCTTATAAACAAATCATTTAATTAATTAATTTTTTTTTTTTGAGACAGTCTCACTTTGTCACCCAGGCTGGAGTGGAGTGGTACGATCTCAGCTCACTGCAGCCTCCATCTCCTGGGTTCAAGCGATTCTCCTGCCTCGGCCTCCTGAGTAGATGGGATTAACAAGCATGTGCCACCATGCCTGGCTAATTTTATATTTTTAGTAGAGATAGGGTTCTCCATGTTGGTCAGGCTGGTCTTGAACTCCCAACCTCAGGTGATCTGCCTGCCTCGCCCTCCCAGACTGCTGGGATTACAGGCATGAGCTACCGCGCCCAGCCTGCTAATATTCTTTAACCTGAATTCTCCACTAAATTAACTGACTTACTGGGGCTCTTGAACAGAGTGCTAATCCCTGCTCTGTCATTAACTTGCTGTCTGAAAAATGATCTCCCTTTTGGCTCTTGGTCTGCTCACTCACAAATTAGGAGTGGTACTGGGATGGGAGGGGGTGGACCCCTCTCCTAGATCCTTTTCAGATCTAACATTCTGTCAATCTGTGACCAGATGAGAAGTCAAAGGGCCTTCCTTTCCAACTCTACACTTTGATCAGCAATTTACATTTTCATGGGTTTGGTCTTGTTTCTCCAGTTGTTCTTGAGCTTATTAAAGACAAGACTATCTCTTTGTATTCCCTCAAGAATATCCTGCTAGAATTATGGCTCCAAAAATGTATGTGGATTTTCTAGGTTATCATTTAATTGCCTTAATAATTAAATGCTATGCCTTAATAATTGCTCCATTCCTATTATCTGAAGTAGGTTGATTAACCCAAGTTTCTTTTAGGACAAGGAATAGGAATTGCAATGCTTGTGCTGAATTAGAACAATTGGGAACATTTGGGAGGCTGAGGCAGGCAGATTGCTTGAATCTAGGAGTTCAATACCAGACCGGGCAACAGGGCAAAATCCCGTGTCCACAATACAAAAAAAAATTGCTTGGTGTGGAGGTGCACACCGGTGGTCCCACTACTCAAGAAGCTGAATTGGGAGGATCATGTAAACCTGGAAAGTTGAGGCCACAGTGAGCTATGATCATACCACTGCACTCCAGCCTGAGTGACAGAATGAAACCCCGTCTCAAAAGAAAAAAAATAACTGGGAACAATTCTTGATCTTAGCATTAGGTCCTTAACAATGTATCTAATTTATGCAATCTATATATTGCTGACATACATATAAATACTATTAGCGACTTGAAGAATAAAAGCATTCTTCTAGGCCAGGCACGGTGGCTCACATCTGTAATCCCAGCACTTTGGGAGGCTCAGGCGGGTGGATCACGAGGTCAAGAGATCGAGACCATCCTGGTCAACATGGTGAAACCCCGTCTCTACTAAAAATACAAAAAATCAGCTGGGCATGGTGGCACGTGCCTGTGATCCCAGCTACTCAGGAGGCTGAGGCAGAAGAATTGCCTGAACCCAGGAGGGGGAGGTTGTGGTGAGCTGAGATCGCGCCATTGCACTCCAACCTGGATAACAAGGGCGAAACTCCGTCTCAAAAAAAAAAAAAAGCATTCTTCTTTTTTTAAATAAAAAGCAATGTCTTATCCATGCAGAAGAGATGAAAATGGTTACTTCCTCTCAATTTACAATGTCCCAATATTCTTTTATCCCATGCATATAACTGCTTGTATTTTATGAGACTAATGAGACTATTGCAGCAAAAAAATGGGAAGAAGCTCAATATTTTCTAAAGTGGAACTCATCATCTCCCCAAATTTTTACACTCTTCAGTGTCCTCCATTTTATTTTATTTATTTTTTGAGATGGAGTCTTACTCTGTTGCCCAGGCTGGAGTGCAGTGGTGCGATCTTGGCTCACTGCAACCTCCGCCTCCCAGGCTCAAATGATTCTCCTGCCTCAGCCTCCTGAGTAGCTGGGATTACAGGCGCACACCACTACACCCAGCCTGTCTTCCATTTTAGTAAAGGGCACCACCATCCCCTCAGTTGCTCAAGCCAGAAACCTAGGTGTCATTGTTGACGTTTCCTTGACTATTTGATGACTTCCTTTTCCTTACTGTGCCCCCTCCCCATTAATTAATCACCAAGTCTTTTCCATTCTCTCCCCTAAATATATCTTCAACCCATTTGCCTCCCTGTAACAGCATTACCACATCAAGTGCAAGCTATCATCATCTCTCAAGCAGACTGCTTTGAAAACTTCTTACCTTCCCACCAAAGCACATTGGATTGTGTTGATTCTCTCCTTACGCTCTTTTTTTTTTTTTTTTTTTTAGACGGAGTTTTGCTCTTGTGGCCCAGTCTGTAGTGCAGTGGCATGATCTCGGCTCACTGCAACCTCCGCCTCCTGGGTTCAAGTGATTTTCATGTCTCAGCCTCCCAAGTAGCTAGGATGATTACAGGTGCCCGCCACCACATGCAGCTAATTTTTATCTTTTTTTTTTTTTTTTTTTGAGACGGAGTTTCACCCTTGTTACCCAGGCTGGAGTGCAATGGCGCGATCTCGGCTCACCGCAACCTCCGCCTCCTGGGCTCAGGCAATTCTCCTGCCTCAGCCTCCTGAGTAGCTGGGATTACAGGCACGCGCCACCACGCCCAGCTAGTTTTTTTGTATTTTTAGTAGAGACGGGGTTTCACCATGTTGACCAGGATGGTCTTGATCTCTCGACCTCGTGATCCACCCGCCTCGGCCTCCCAAAGTGCTGGGATTACAGGCTTGAGCCACCGCGCCCGGCTAATTTTTATCTTTAAAAAAAAATTTTTTTTTAATAGACACGGGGTTTCTCCATATTGGTCAGACTGGTCTCGACCTCCCAACCTCAAGTGATTCGCCCATTTCAACCTCCCAAAATGCTGGGATTACAGGCGTGAGCCACCACGCCCAGTCATTTCTGTCTTTTTACTAGGAACCGCATTTCACTGTGTTGGCCAGGCTGGTCTAGAACTCCTGACCTAGGGTGATCCACCTGCCTCGGCCTCCAAAAGTGCTATAATTACAGGCGCGAGCCACTGCCCCCGACCTCGCCTTACACTCTTTAAAAGTTTCCCATTGCCTTTAGGATAAAAACTCAAATCCTTAAGACCTATGAGATGCTGTGTGTTCAACAACGTAGTTGTTGGGTTCAACATATCTCATTCCGTCCCTCATTCTTTCTGTTCCAAAAACTGGCCTCTCAGTTCTTCCCAATAAGTAGTCACTCTTCTTCCACCTTGGAATTTTGCCTGGAATATATTAGCTTAATTTTCAGGCCCTCTATTGTCCATCCCCTATACTCTTCCATGTCCCCCTCACCAACTTGAACATAGATCAGTTATTATTTGTTTTGAGACAGAGTCTCATTCTGTCACTTAGGCTGGAGTGCAGTGGTACAATTTTGGCTGACTGCAACTTCTGCCTCCTGGGTTCAAGCGAGTCTCCTGCCTCTGCCTGCTGAGTAGCTGGGACTACAAGCACATACCACCATGCCTGACTAATTTTTTATTTTTCAGTAGGGATGGGGTTTCACTATGTTGGCCCGGGTGATCTCGAACTCCTGACCTCAAGTGATCCACCTCCCTCAGCCTCCCAAACTGCTGAGATTACAGGTATGAGCCACCGCATCTGACCAGTTAAATTATTCTTTAGGGTTTACCTTAAATATCACTTAGTCAAAGAACTTCTGTGAACTCTCCCCCACAGCTTGTACTCCTTCTCAGCTTTATAAGTTATATTTGTATAACTCTTCAACTTTTCAGCTGCTAATCTGTATGCCCCATAAGGGCAATGAACTTACTGTGCTTGACACTCAGTGGGCATAGAATAAATAATTGGTGAAGCCACAGTTATTTTTTCAGAAATCCTTTACTTCCAGCTATTAATATATTTAACATTTATTTACAACAATAGATCTGAATAACTCTTTTCACTAATTAGGTTGCATTAATTGCAAGTGTGATGATTCTTTTTTAATTTTCAAGATTAATTTTTTTTTTTTTTTTTTTTTTTTTTTAGAGATGGTACTCTGCTGTGTTGACCAGGCTGGTCTTAAACTTCTGGTCTCAAGTGATCTTCCTGCCTTGGCCTCTTAAAGTGCTGAGATTACAGGTATGAGCCACTGCACCCTGCCTGATTTTTTTTTGTAACTTTTGACCAATAAGGCAAATTATTTGAAGGTTTACAAATTTTGTGTTTTTCCCCTAGACTTTCTGTCTTAATATGGAGATGGTAAGAAAAACCTTCTACTTTGGGCACCATGATTTAATTAATAATATAGCTGTCATTTATTAGGTACTTGCTGTTTTACAGGGATAGTTCTCATGCACAGTGTGCCAATGTGCATTAACTTAAAACAAGTTTATGGGCTGGGCACTGTGGCTTACGCCTGTAATCCCAGCACTTTGGGAGGCCAATGTGGGTGGATAACCTGAGGTCAGGAGTTCAAGACCAGCCGGACTAACATGGTGAAACCCCATCTCTATTAAAAATACAAAACTTAGCTGAACATGATGGTGAGCACCTGTAATCCCAGCTACTTGGGAGGCTGAGGCAGGGCCCGGAAGGTAGAGGTTGCAGTGAGCTCAGATAGTGCCATTGCACTCCAGCCTGGGTGACAGAGCATGCCTCCATCTAAATAAATAAACAAATAAGGTTATGAAATAGTTATTATTTTTACCTTTGCATTGAAGTGTAATTTTATTGCTTTGTTCATTGCTCCAAGGGCAACATGAAGGAGGTGTCTGTCTGTTGCTGCCACACCTCTTCATTAGGTCATATTTTACAGTTAGTTACTCTAGATTCTGACTATGACAGGGACTTTTTCCTGGCTTACTCAGGCAGCTCTCAGGCCTCACTGCCAGAGGATTTTCTCCTGTCATCTGCCACCTCTTGCATCACAGCTTCTTCTCCGGTGGCTTTGGCTCCATCGTATTTCATGACTGCCAGAGGAATTTATCTGGTCATGCATTCCACTTGATGTCACAGGAGCCAGTTCCTGTGATTTCTTTGAATGCTGTCATTTTTCTAAAGGCGTTCAGAAAGGAGAGTACTGCAGGGGACCTACACTCAGCTCCTATCCTGAGTCTTCTGTGGACATAAGGATGGGAAGCAGTGACTGTGTCAGGGGAGCTGGACAAGACCTTGAAGTTGAGGGCACAGGTTCTGCGGCCAAACAGATTGGCTTCAAATTCAGCCTTCAGACACAGTGCTAGGGTAATGCAGAAAGGAAGAGAACTGTGCATGCTGGAAGGGTCATGAACAGCCACATGGAAGAGGGAAGAATCTACTTTTTTTTTTTTTTTTCAGAGACAGAGTCTCACTCTGTTGCCCAGGCTGGAGAGCAGTGGTCTAATCTTGGCTCACTGCAACCCCCACATCCTGGGTTCAAGCAATTCTCCTGCCTCAGCCTCCTGAGTAGCTGGGATTACAGGTGTGCACCACCACACCTGTCTAATTTTTTTGTATTTTCAGTAGAGATGGGGTTTTACCATGTTGGTCAGGCTGCTCTCAAACTCCTGACCTTGTGATTCACTTGCCTTGGCCTCTCAAAGTGCTGGGATTACAGGTATGAGCCATCGCGGCTGGCCTGAACCTACCTTTTAGGATGATAAAATTGGGACAGATAGAAGGGAGCGAAAAGGTATCCGAGGCTGCAGACAGCAGCATGCACCGAGGTGCAGAGTTAGGAACGAGCATAGAAGAAGATTAAGAAAGTCAATAGTGACTCTAAGATGCAATATTTTTTGGGTGGGAAATGAGAAATTGGAAGATGAGCTGACTTGAGGAACAGTGGAGAGTTTAATTCTGGACTCATGAATTAGCACTTTCTATAGAATGTCCAAGCAGAGCTGTTCAGAGCATAGTCAAGAGTTGCAGACAAGATTTACATTGAGGCAAGAAGGCAAGAGCTGGAAAGATATATACAGGAGATATGAGAAGGAGCTGTACCTTAATGTAAAGGCTTAGAGAAAAGAAAAGAGGAAACATGTTTGTTAAAGTTGTGTTTAACAAACAGAAGAAACGAAGGAAAAAATGGAAGGAAGACAGAAGAAAAGGAGGAGAGAGAGAAAAAGAAACAGCTGGGGCCAGGTGCTATGGCTCATGCCTGTAACCCCAGCACTTTGGGAGGCTGAGGTGGTAGGATCACGAGGTCAGGAGTTCGAGACCAGCCTGACCAACATGGTGAAACCCCGTCTCTACTAAAAATACAAAAATTAGCTGGACGTGGTGGCGTGCGCCTGTAATCCCAGCTATACAGGAGACTGAGGCAGGATGATCACTTGAATCTGGGAGGAGGAAGTTGCAGTGAGCTGAGGTCATACCACTGCACTCCAACCTGGGTGACAGAGTGAGACACCATTTCAGAAAAAAAAAAGAAAAAAGAAACAGTTGTATGTGTGAATGAAGAGAGAAAAGAATAAAATTGTGGCCATTGCAGCATCATGGAAGCCCAGGGAGGAGAGAGTTCAAAGAAAGGAAGAGCTGTCATAGCATCCAATAGGAATTTAAGATGTATATTTCTAGTTAGAAGACATCCCATTAAAGATAGTCCAAAAGTAGCATTTGGACATGGAGACGGCTGTTATATAATAGCCTTTTCAAAAACTTGGATGTAAGACAAAGATGCCCATTATCACTGCCATTATTTTACATTGATTTGAAACTTCTAATCCAATGCATAAGTACAAGAGAAAAAGGTAAAATTATTGAAAATAACAGGGAGGGGAGCACTACACAC